CTCCCTGCTGTGAGATGCTGTGCTGAGTGGCCGGACCCGCCGTGTTCCTCTGTCTGTCTGTCCGTCCGTGCGGGACACTCGGGTCCCCGCCCCCGCTGGGCGCCTGTGAGCCTGTGATGCAGCCCTGCCCCGTCCTGGGGGCGCCCGGCGGTGGGACAGACAGACCGTACGGTACCTTGTGATATTTTAACGGCACAGTTTTAATTTAAAAAAAAAAATCTCTTCTGTTCATTGGGCTATCCATGATTTCAACTTCTTCTATCATCAGCTTGGATGATTTTCTACTTTGCTTGGTCTCGTTTGGGGTTTTGCTGATTTGGGCCATTGTGTGTGCGAGTGTGCCTGTGAGCGTGCAAGTGTGAGTGGGCAGACTCGAGCACCGGCTTCTCTGGGATGGGATGAGGCTCTTCACCGCCGCGGGTCCTGGTGTCACCTGTGTGGCTCTGAGGGTGGAGCCCTGTGGGCTTGGGCACAGGCGGGGACAAGTGGCCCTGCCCAAGGGTGGCCGGTGCCAGGCCGTCGGCTCCCACAGACACTGCTGGACACGCGGAGTCCTCGTGCCGCTGCTAGGCTGCCTTCAGCAGTGCTTCCCGAGGTTCCCCAAGGCGGGCGGCGTGGTCAGGTCACACCTGAGCACGCGATGGGAACAGAGCTCATGGACCCGGATTTCTAGATCCAGAGTCAGATCCGGTGCTCGGGCGTCTCAGGGGAGGGGGCCGTGCACCGGCTCTGGCGCAGCTGCGGGCGGCTGGTCACTTACGTCCTGAGGTGTGGCCGCGGCCGTCGCTGGGCGTCCCCGCACACGGAGCCCACCAGGGAAGACGCACGGCCCCCAGCCCCAGGCCCGCACTTCCCGCACTGGCCCCCACCTCGTCACTCCCGCCTCGTCTCCGGGGTCCACGAGGATCCGCTGGTCGCAGTGGGGTCACGAGTGCTCAAGGCTGTCGGGGTCTCTGGCAAGGCGCGCTGTACTCCTACTCCATCACCCTGGTCCTTTCCCCATGAACTGGAGAAAAGCAAGACAGGCTGGTCCGGGCGCTTCATCCCCGGCGGCTGGCCGGTGCTCTCTCGTCTCCACAGATAAGCCCCCGAGAGCTGGACCTGGGGGAAGGGGAGTCCCCAGGCCACACAGCTGCGTAGGAGGCCCCATCCCTGCCGGATTTCACAGCAGCGCCCTGACTCGGACCCCACGGCCTCCTGATGGGTCCGGGCCGGCTAGTGGACGGAAGGGGAACACGCCTGCCCACCTGCAAGTCGGCAGCAGCAGGCACGCCCAGAAGCCTCCGCGGGAGCTCCAGCGGCGCCTTTCCGTAGGTGCAGAGGCGAAGAGGGTGCCCTGGGGGGCAGGGCATGCAGGCAGTGGCGGGAGGCCTGGCCAGTGACGAGCAGAGACCCACCCAGTGTCACATGGGGCCACTGAGGCCAAGAGGAGCTGAGGTGGAGGACCAGGGTCAGGACGGTCCCACTCTATCACCAAATCGCGCCCCCTGTGCAAAAGCCACTCACGTCTCTGAAAATGCACGTGGGTCAGGGGACTCTGGACCCACAGGGGGACACCGCGGCCCCAAGGCTCAGGCCTTTGCTTCCTCCAGGGCTGTGACCTTCTACTGCCTCAACCTTCGCTTCCTGACACTCTGGCAGCCTGAGCCAGTGCCCACCTAGGGAGGCTCTGCAGACCCCAGTCCCCAGGGGAGACCCCGCCTCTGCCCCGTGGACAGCATCCCCTGGGGCCCGGATCTTCCAGCAGGAAGGACATTCAGGTCGGCAAAGCCGGATCGATCCCCACCCTCCGCAGCACTGGCCCCTGCCGGGCCGGGCTCATGGGCCACAGCCAGTGATACGCAGGTCCTTGCGCCGCATGGGCCACAGTGGCCGTGGGAACACAGACAGGGGTCAGCAGGGGCTGGGGGGTGGGGGGCACAGGGGTGCGAAGGTGACAGACGTCACAGTTCCTAATGATTCGGAAAGCCAGAGAATAAAATCTGCTATTGACAATAACAAGCTGCTAATGCGCACGACGGTTTAGCGAGTAGTAACTATAACGACGATAGACAGTACACACACAACGTCAAGGAGTAATATGAAAATATAATATTCGAGTGAAATAGTACTAGGTCCCTCGTTGGGTAAGATGTCAAGTTTCTCTTAATCTTTAAGTGTGATTCCTACCCCAAACTTCGTGAGTTTATTCTGGTCTTGACAACATTCGTCGAAAGTTCAAGTGAAAAAATAAACATGAGGACAGCCAGCAGCTTGGAAGGGCGTGGGGGGCGCGGGGGCAGGACTCGGGTGGCCGGGGTGGCTGGAGGCGGGTGCCCCCCCCCCCCCCGCAGCGGGCTTGCCCACGCAGGGCGCAGTTCCAGCTGCTAAAGGAGTCCTCTCCCCTCTCCCTCCCTGCTCTGTTCTGGCGGTGACCGCGCTAGTGGGGAGGCTCCTGGTCCTACAAGGGCGCAAGGAGCTGAGGCCGGGGACAGGGAGGGGGCAGGGAGGGGGCCCTTGGGGACAGGGAGAGGGTGCCTGGGGACAGGGAGGGAGCAGCTGGGAACAGGAAGGGGATGGGGAGAGGGGGCAGCCGCAGCCGGGCAGGGAGGAGGTCCGGGGGCAGAGAGGAGGTGGGGGGGCGGGGAGAGGAGAGCAGGGAGGCAGGGAGGAGGTGGGGGGGCGGGGAGGGGGGGGCGGCCGGGGGCGGGGAGGAGGCCCGGGGTCCCGCAGCTCCCCCCGCGTTGGGCGGAGTGCCCGGCCCCTCCTCTCACGGCGCCCGCCGGAGGGCACAGCGGGGAAGCCGGGTCGCGCCCTGCCGCGCCCCGCAGGAGGGCGGAGGAGGAGGGCGCCGGCCGAGCCTCCGCAGAGGGGCGCGGACCCGGGAGAACCTCCGCAGCCGCGGTGAGCCCCGCCCCGCCCCGCCCCGACTACGTGACCCGCCCGGACCAATCAGAGTGCGGCCCCCCGCGTGATTGGTGGGGGGCGGGAGCCCGCGGGCGCCCCCAGCCAATCAGAGGGCGGCGCGCGGGCGGGGGCGGGGCCGCCCGGGCTGGTGACGCAGGCCCCGGGATCCCGGGCCGCCCCCGCCCCCTCCCCTCCCCTCCCCTCCCTCCTCCTCTCCCCCCCCCCCCCCGCTCCCCCAGCAGCTGCGGGACGTCCTGGGCCGCGAGCTGCGCACCGACAGGTGATCACGAGGGCTTGGGTACTTGCATCACAATAAAAAAAAAAAAATTGGGAAAGAAAAAAAAACAGCCAGTAAGCAGCCTTCATGCCCAAGGACCAGAAACCGCTTCCAGGCGCTGCTGCCCCTGGGGTGAGCGGCCACTTGGTCAACAGCCGGCGCTGGCACACGGGACACTCGGCCCCTCGGGAGGTGGGGGCGTCGGTGGGCTCCGGCTGCACCCGGCCACCTGACCGAGCGTGGCCTCAGGGTCATTCTTCCAAAGCCAGCCTTCCCCTGGGCCGCACCGCTCCTGCAGCGAGGCCGTCGGCAGAGGCACCTCTGGGCTCGGCCCCACGCATGGGAGCGGGCTCTGCAGTCCTGCCAAGCTTCCAGATCCTCCTTGTCCCCGAGGGGTCCCTGCCCTAGCCACCGAGGACAGCCCGAAGGACCAGAGCCCAGGTCTGCGGCAGGCCCTTGGCGTCTCCACATTCCAGACACCCGTCCAGCGCAGGCCCGCAACTGCAGCCCGGAGGCCCCGCAGGCCTAATTAGGGGCCTCCTTAGGGAGCAGTTACAAGGCAGCCTGCATCCGAGGATAAAGTCCCAGCAGGACCTGACGGTCACCCCACCGCTGTGCGGAGCTCTGCTTCCGGGCCCCTGTGGCCAGCTGGCTTTTTAAAGAACTGGTCAGAGGAGCCAGAACCCTGGAGTTCTGCAGAGAAGAGGGGCGGGGGCGGGGGGTGGCTGTGCTGCCCAGCAGGGCGTGAGGAGCAAGAGGGGGACGGTGGGGATGGGGAGGAGGCAGGGGACAGTGAAGTGTCTGCCCCAGCTCAGCCCCAGCACTGCTCCTCCGCCTGTTTCCGATTGTCTGGGTGGCATCCTTGGCTGCCCATCCAAGCCACTCCTCCTGAAGCCCGGGCAGGGCTGGTGCCCTCCAGTGCCTGACCGAACCCTAAGCCCCACCCTCTCTGCCCCAGACCTTGCCCACACCCTCTGTGGCTCTAGGGACAGAATTCACCCTCAGCCGGGACAGGCAGGGAGGGCAGAGGGCAGCGCAATGCAGATGTTAACAATTCTCTCCTTAACAAAAGGGTGCTTGAAGGAGTTCTTGCAAAGGCGCTAATTGCTCCGGTTTAGAATGTCCCCAAGCCTCAGGGGAGCTGAGGCACAGTGTCCCAGCATCCAGGCATCCTGACAGCTGTAGGGAGCGGGAGCAAAGCCACCCCCGCCCCTCTTCTCTGCTCAGGAGAAACTCTCCACTCAGAAGTGATCCATCTCCAGCCGACCCCTCAAGGCAGTGCCCCGGAGCTAATTTTAACCTCCTCAGAGTGCTCGTTAAGCCTCTTTGAGTTATAATTACCCCCAGTCTCTAGACACTACAAGGCAGCAATCAGGAAGTTAGATGTGGACAGGAGAGACAGGAGCGGGACGGTCTGGAGCAGCGCGGTGCCGGGATGAGGACGCACGCGGCCCTGCCACCCACATGCACCAGGGGCAGCCTGCCCTCTGGGCTCCGAGTGTCACAGCGACCCCGCACACTGAATGTCCGCTGCCACCCCCTTCCCGCCGTGAGACACTTCCCTCTGAGGACTTGAGCGGGCACCAGTGTCTCCAGTGGGTGGGCGTCGGGGTCGTGGTCCCGCAAAGCCCAGCAGCTGTGCCATCTGCACCCGAGGCTCCCAGCTGAGTTAGGGACACCCAGAGACCTGGACTGAAGACCCTAGGGCTCCCGAGCAGGCTGACGGCCTACTGTGAACCCCATCGCCAGCCCCCCAAGCACAGGTGGGGCTGGCCTCCCCGGAGCTGGGGGCCGCAGGGACGCTCCCGCCACGGCCACCCTCCTGGCTCCACCTTACCTTGCCAAAGCTGCCCTTTCCGATGGCCCGAAGGATCTGGAAGTGGTCAAAGTTCACTGCGGAAAAAAGAGAGGGACGTCAGGTGAGGTGGCAGCAAGACCCTGGCCCCTCCACAAGCCCCCAGCTGGAGTAGCCGCCCAGGGACCGCCCCCACCACTGCAGGGAGCCCCCCCCCCCCCCCCCGCAGCCCTCCAGCCACGCTCTGTGCCCTGGAAGTGGGCCCGGGGCCCGGCTGGAGGCTCAACTCAGGCTCGTGTGTAAGCAGGGAGGGCCTGCGCCCAGGCAGAGAGCTGGGGCCTGGGGGCCACACGTCCCTCTCCCTGGGGTCATTGTGGGGCCACCGTGCCCCCTGTTCATGGGGCATGAACAGGGCAAGTGGCGCCCAGAGCAGCCCTCTTCAGCCTCAGGAACCCAGCCACCGCTCCCCTGAGCTGCCCTGCAAACAGGGATCCTGGGCAACGGGCCCCCCAGCCTCCTGCTGAATCTCCTGGGGGTTCACAGCATGAGCTAAAGGGGAGCCTGCCACCACCCGGGGTAATAGGGACTTTCCAAAGGGTGTCCCCAGGCCTGTGTGAAACCACCCCGGTCCTGATTTCTCTTGATTTTCTCCAGACATAAGCCCCTCCCAGAGACCGGGGTCCTTGGAACTCGCAGCTTTGCTAACTGTCACGGGCTCAAGAGAGATGCTCCCCACCCTGCACACTCGCCCTGCACACATGGTGCCCCCCGGGGCAGGGGGTCATCTGCAAGTGACAGCAGCTTGGAAGCGTTCCTCAGGGCTCTGAACCTGATGTATAACGTCTACTGCACTGGTTCCCTGCCCTCGGGCGTCTCGGCCCCAGGCAGCCCAGCCCAGCCTGGCTTTCCACCCCTGCCCCCCCAGGGCGCAGCTCCCCCAGCGGACTCTCTGGCCCCAGCTGGCCCCACCTGTGCCCCACATCAGAGTCCCCCAGGCCTGCGCCCCCCAGGTCTGCACCCCTCCACATCTGTGACCCCTCAGGTCCGTATGCCCCCCCAGGTCCGTTCCCCTAGGTCTGTGCCCCTCCAGGTCAGTGTGCCCCCACGTCAGAGTCCCCCAGGCCTGAGCCCCCCAGGTCTGTGCCCCTAGGTCAGAGCCCCCCAGTTCTGTGCTCCTCCACGTCTGCAACCCCCTAGGTGTGTATGTCCTCCAGGTCTGTGCCCCCAGGTCTGCACCCCTCCAGGTCTGTGCCTCCCCAGGTCTGTGCCCTTAGGTCAGAGCCCCCCAGTTCTGTGCCCCTCCACATCTGCGACCCTTCAGGTCTCTGTGCCCCCCAGGTCTGCACCCCCCCCCCCGAGTCTGTGCGCCCCCAGGTCAGAGCCCATCCCCCCCATGACAGGACTGCTACATGGCCTACAGCTCTTGTTCTTTCTCTTTCTCTTCAGGTTCAACTAGACCCTGGCTCTAGTTTCTGGGACACGTGCCCGGGCACTTGTCAGGCGAGGGTCCCCAGATGGCTGTTCCCACCCACCGGGAGCGGAACTTGGCTGCAGCGTCTCACCTGAGCACAGCATGTGCGGCTCAGCGTGTGGAGCCCCTCAGAGGGGAAGAGGGGGCCAGGCATCCTCCCCGCTCCCCACAGACGCCCAGCAGGGGCACCCCGGAGAGCACAGGGACCCAGCAAAGGCAAGCACCGATTTTAGAGAAAGGCACAGATCCCGGACTGCAGGTCTCTGCGGGGCAGGGAGGGATGGCAACGGAGGGTGGACCGGACAACGGGTCAGAAGCACAGGACACGCGCACCGTGTCCCTCACCCCACGTTCACACCCTGAGAAGCCAGGTTGTCGCGGACGGAGGGTCCGAGGGAAAGGGACACTCGGAGGTCTGCCGGGCACGGAAGTGGGGAGCTGCGGCCTCGTCCGCTGGCTGGCCCTGTGGCCTTTCCTGGGCCTGCTTCCCGGGGAGGGGAGGGAGGGCATGTACCCGCTGCATGTGCACCCCACTGTGGTTCTGAGACCCTGGGGCTGGGGGGGCACGACCGCAGACTGGGTTCTGAGCCAGCCACAGGGAGGCTTCACGGCGGGGGGCGGGGGGGAGGGAGGTCCATGAGCACAGTGCCCAGGGCACGGCCACGGGGACCCAGGCTGGCGTCCTGACGACCCATGGACTTCGTGTAGCCGTAGCCGCCTGCACTTTCCTCCCAAATCCCCAGCTGCTGCACAGAATTCGGCCCCACTTCTGGGTAAAGTTCCACCCCTGCCCCCCAATCCCCACTCCTCAGCCGACAGCAACAAGGTGGGGCCAGCAGGCGGGAGGGGCAGGGGGTCAGGCTGGTCCTCACCCAGGGCGTGGGTCCCGGGGGCCTGCTGACACGGGTGGGGCCCAGCTCCGTGGGGAGGATGCTGGTTGACCTACGCCAGGCCGCGGCGGCCCTGCACGGGGTTTCCGTGGCCGAGGGACACCATCAGCCCACTTCCCCCGGGAGACACCGCCAGGTCACCAGGAGAAGGAAAGGTAACGTGGCCCCAGGGTCCTGTGGTCGGAAGCGGGAAGCGGAGCGTCGCTGGAGGGAGGGAGCCGTGCCCGGGAGGCGCCGCTCTGGGCTGGGCCACCCCGACCCTGTCCCCAGGGCCCTCCTGCGGCGCAGGGAAACTCGGGCACAGGCCTCCCTGGGACGGATGAATATTTAAAACACAAAGGACTAAGAATATTTCTTCTTCAAGGAAGGCTTTTATTCCACGGAGCCGGCAATCACGGCACAGCCGGCTACAAAAATAGGTCATCTTGACGCCGAGGGGCCAGGGAGGTGCAGGAGCTGGCTGGGTCCTTCCCAGGGCTGCGGGTGCCCGGGCCCCACCTGCGGGGGTCCTGGAGGGATTTTCCCCACTCGCCCAGGCGGGAACCCCAGCACCGGACAGAACTCGCGGGGGGCTCTTGCACATTCTCCGAGGTTCTCACGGCTTTACCGGGAGCCGGACCATCGCCGGGAGAAGCCAGGAGCTCTCCTCCGGGAGTGCCGGCGACACGCAGGCAGGCACACTGCCCTCATCTCCCCGCAGCCCGACCCCACCCGACCCTCTGGCCACCGTGACACGGGGAGACGGGCCAGGTCACTCCCAGAGCCCGACGCTGGCCTCGCTCAGGACAAGGCGGCGAGAAGCCAACAGGTGGCGCTTGTGCAGACGCCCCAGAATCCAGAGCCCAGGTCAGGTAATATTTGAACTTTTCCCCTAAAAATAAAACAACGGTCTGCTGATTTGAACTCAGCGCTCGCCCTCCGTGGGCAGAGGAGCGCACCCGACAGCAAGGTCGTAGGGGACCCGTGAGTCCCCGTGAGATTCGGGCTGAGAACGCAGCCCTTCCACCAGCCGGCGCCCCCGGCCGGGAGAGCAAGAGAGGGGGTGAGCCCTGGGAGCGTAAAAATAGAGCCTGAGTCACCCGGTTGTTACTGGTGACACGGTGCCTGCGCCACGGGGTGGGGGAGGGGTGCCTGAGTCACTGGGGGAAGGGGTGCCCACGCCACGGTGGGGGAGGGGGAGGCCAGCCTGCTCCTGACGCCCCAGCCCAGGTCCCCACGCCCTCAGGGCCCGGGACATGGGCCCCGCGTGGAGGGTGACAGGCCCACGGCCATGGGATGAGCCCCCTCCCCAGCCGGTCTTCCAGCACCCAGGGGAGGCCCGGCCCCCCGAGCTCCGGGTGAGCCCCACATGAGAAGTGGGGATTACTTGGAAAGCTGTGGCCCTAAGTCACACGTCACAGCTGCCGAAATCCACTCAGAAGCGGATGGCATTTTGTCAAACCTACGACCCAGAAAACTCCCGAAGAGAACCATGGGGTCCAGCTTAGACAGGTGCCCTGCAGTTTGCGTGACCTCTGGGGGAGCCCCGGCCCGGCCCCCACCGCGCTCCTCAGGGCACACAGACCGGCCCACATCAGCGGTCGCCAGGTGGGCACCTAAAGGCGACACTGGGGCCCAGGCTGCCAGCTCTGCGGGGCCGACAGGGGCACACACCTTGAGCCGGACGCTGCCTGGCCCTCCCGGTCCTGACACCTGCAAGCTCTGAGCCGCCACCTGGTAGGGGACGGACGCTCCCCTTTCACAGGCGAGGAAACCGCTGAGCATCCCGGCAGACACAGGGCCACTAGCCTGCCCCGCCGGCCTGGGGACACCTGGACCAGAGCGGGGCCCACATCCCCACGGCCCAGGGCTGCGCTCGTCGCCACACAAACAGCATTAAGTCTGATTCAGGGAAGAAAGCACAGGGCTGGCGCCGGAGAAGATGGGCTCACAGGCGGGGCGGGGGTTCCCGCATCAGAGGCACCCCCGGAAATGGGCTCCTCCGCGGCCTGTGCTGCAGGCATGGCCACTGGCCCCAGCAGGGCTCCCGGCCCAGCGCTGCCGACCACCTGGGGAGGGGCGGGCGGCCTGTCTCTACTCGCAGCCTGGCCCCGTCATCCCCCCGTCATCCCCCCACCATCCCCCCCACCATTGCCCCTCTGTCAGCCCCCTCCATCCCCCGGCCATCTGCCCTGCCATCGCCCCCCACCATCGCCCCCCTTCATCCCCCCTGCCATTGCCCCCTGGCTCCACCCCCCCACTCCCACCCCCCCACACGTGAACACAGGCTCCCGTACCACGGGCAAGGTCGAACCCCAGCGCACAGGAGCCCAAGCCTTTCCAGAGCCAGGAGGTCACACGGGGTGTGTGTGAGGCTCAGGCGGGCGCACGGCCCCCCACTGGCCAGTCCCCGGGGCTGCTGTGGGGTCCACTTCCCAAGCCCTCAGCTGGGACCACGTGTCACTGAAGGGCCAGGCCCGCTGCTGGGGCGCCACGGGAGCCCGCGGGACACGCAGGGGCACAGCTCAAGCCGGGACCCGGAGCACGGCATCACGTGGGGGGCGGGAGGCAGGCTCAGCCACACATGACCCCAGATACCACCGCGGCCTCGGGGCACCACACACACACCCTGAAACTACGGTCAGGGCCCCCCCGCCCTCCGGGAGCCGGCAGGCCAGCCTGGCGCCCACGCGGCCACACTGACAGCCCCCGAGGATGGGAGCACCGGTCCTGGGGAGCCTCCTGGGGTGCGACCATC